TAGATAGATGATAGATAGATGATAGATAGATGATAGATAGATAGATAGATAGATAGATAGACAGACAGACAGACAGACAGACAGACAGATGAAGATACCGTGTTTGCCCAAAAATAAGAGAGGTCCTTTTTTCTTTTGATCCCCGAAATAAGCGCTTGACCTTATTTTTGGGGAGGTCTTACTATTTTTGAGGTGCAGGAGGCGGTGAGCATGGTCACCTCATGGCTGCTGCTGTGTTGCAGTGTTTTCGGGGTGGGCTTATTTTCAGGAGCGAGGTCTTATTTAAGCGCATGGGCTCAAAAAGCCCGATTGGGCTTATTATCTAAGGAGGTCTTATTTTGGGGAAAACGGGGGTACCTATTTCTCAATCTCAACGTCTTTTTCAGATGTTATTTTTTTTCCCCCCCTTTAGGACACGTGAAGATTCAGACAGCCCACGAAAATGTAATTCTTGCAGAGGTTTTCTTGGCACCAACCAAATCCCAGCATGTACAAACCAGGAGAGAAACCGAAACGGCGGCTTCGTGCTCACAGCTCCAGCATCCGAAACATCGAAATTGCCCGAGGGAGAGCGGGATACGGTTTCACTCTTTCGGGCCAAGCTCCCTGCGTGCTGAATTCTGTTTTAAAAGGGAGCCCTGCGGATTACGTGGGGCTGAAAGCGGGCGATAAAATCTTTGCCATCAATGAAATTAACGTGAAATGGGCCTCCCACGAGGACGTGGTGAAGCTGATCGGCAAATGCTCCGGGGTTTTGCACATGGTCGTCGCCGAAGGCTTCGGCCATGTGGAAGCGGGTTCCAGCGAGGAAGAAGATGGCCCTCGCGATGGGAAAGGGTGGCCGAAGACCAAGGTTGACCTGAAAGGCCCCGGGATCAACCGGGCGGTGAAAGTGGTCGAGGAAATGCAATCCGGCGAAATTTTCAACATGATCTTCGAAAACTCCAATGTTTCCACCGGTGATACACAGGCGCCAAAGCGAAAGGAAAAGTCCATGCACGAGGGGTCCAAGTTGGAAACGGAACCTCCCGCTGGGAGCGATAAATCCCTCGACGAGGAGCGGGCACCGACCTTGAACCACGACTCGGTGTTCCGAGTTGACCCGGATTGCTGCGGAATCGATGCGAGCATTTTAAACGTAGCCATGGTGGTGGGCTACCTGGGATCCATCGAGCTTCCTTCTTCCAGCTCCAATCTGGAGTACGACAGCTTGCAGGCCATCCGCGGCTCCATCCGCCGCCTTCGGGCCGAGCAAAGGATCCATTCGTTGGTGGCGATGCAGATCATGCACGACGCCATTCAGCTGCGCACAAACCCGTCCGCCGTGATCGCGACCTACCCGGCCGAGAAGCTGGCCTTCAGCGCACTCTGCCCCGACGACAAACGGTTCTTCGGGCTGGTCACCATGCAGAGCGTTGAGGAGGCGAGCTTGGCTACGGAGGACGATGCGGTCTTAAGGACATCCTGCCACGTCTTTATGGTGGATCCGGAGCTCTTCAGTCATAAAATCCATCAGGGCATCGCCCGGCGGTTCGGGTTGGAATGCACGGCCGATCCGGATACCGACGGCTGCCTCGAATTCCCCTTGTCGTCTCTCCCGGTCCTGCAGTTCGTCTCCGTCCTGTACAGGGACATGGGGGATTTCATCGAGGGGGTGAGGGCCAGGGCCTTCCTGGACGGAGACGCGGACGCCCACCGGAACAACAGCATGAGCAGCAACAGCGACAGCGGGATCGGGAATGTCAACCAGGAGGAAAAAAGTCGGGTTTTAGTGGTCGATTTAGGAAGCAACTCCAACAAACACCCGCTTAGCAATCTACAGGGCAGCCCAGTAAACAGAGTTCCAAATTCCCACTGGAGTTTTGGTCACGAACAAGAAAGCGCGGGATTGGGACCCGCGTTCCAGACCGACAAATCTCAAAGCCTAAGTAAATTTCTGGCGTCTTCGGCTCATGTTGACGTTCCGGGGGCTTCGTCCAAGGCCTCAGGGCCCCCGGGCCAGAAGAGCCCCGGGGACCATCAGAGGTGGTTGCCCCCGCACGTCCTGAAAGACTGGCAGCACGGATGCCTGAGCGACCAAGAGTCGTACACGGATTCTACCGACGGCTGGTCGAGCGTCAACTGCGGGACGCTTCCGCCTCCCATGAGTAAAATCCCGGCGGACAGGTACAAGGTCAGCGGCAGCTTCGGCCAGCTTCATCCTCTGTCCCCAAAGAAAGACGTGGCGGAGACGGAATTTCAGAGGGAGGATCGCTTGGATTCCCAACACGGATTCCGACCCCCTAAAGAAGATAAGAAGGTAGGTCTGTTAATGAAATATGCGTGCTCGACACACAAATGTGCTTTCTTTTATTTCCTGATCTCTCTCTCTCTCTCCTTTTCCCTCTTTCTCTCCCTCTCTCTCCCCCTCTCCCTCCCTCCCTCTCTGTCTCTCTCTCCCTCCCTCCTTCCATTCCTTCCTCTCTCTCCTTCCTTCCCTCCCTATCTTCCTCCCCCTCTCTCCTTCCCTCTCTTTCCCCCCCTTCTCTCCCCTGAAAAAAACTCGGCATTAGTGACAGGAAGGGCATCTGGCCAGTAAACACTCAGCTCCATTCAGTTGCCCAGACATCACCCTGTAAGGAATTAGCACTGTGGAGCGGTATATAAATCCAAGTGCTACTGCTATTGTCCTTCCTTCCTTCCTTCCTTCCTTCCTTCCTTCCTTCCTTCCTTCCTTC